ACGACGGAGCTTTCTTCCTAAATATGCGTGCTTTGTTACTCGATCGGATGTAATAAAAACAGACACAGGTGATGGGTGCGTGCAGATAGCGATAATTATTTGCGTCTTTTACACAAACGGAGCATAAAATATTTAGCTTATGGTTAGACAACAATTACTACAATCTTCTTTAGCGCCACTAACGGAAGGTGAATTTATGGTATCGAGACTGCTTCTTTCTCAATCTTTGGAGTGGTCACCGTAAATTTGACTGCTAGGGAACTTGCTGAGACTTTAAGATTAATGTCATCGAAATGGTGTTTTCTATCCTCTGTGCATATGTTTGCCATCGCGAGTTTCACTATTGTTCTTCCCCAATTAGCAAAGAGATAAAGTTTAAATTGAAAATTTGCAGGAAATTAAAACAGTCTTCACATTGTGCTGTAAAAGATAAAGAGAAAAACCATACATGCATTTAATGTCACTGCAATTAAAATAACCGCAATTTTCTATGTCTGGTGACGCTTTTGGCTTGGAAGCGTTCAGTCAAAGGAAACGTTATCAGCTCAGAACTGATTTAATTTTATTTTTGGCTACAGATACACCTTGCTCTAACGAATTCTAACGATCTTACTTTTTGTCCTGGCCAAGATTTCAAACTTTGTAGCGCTATACAATACAGGAACGTGTTGACTCCACCAACTTTTTTCATGGCACTCAAAATTCTCTCGCAGGCCATGCGTCTTTCAAGCGAGCTGTCTAAGAATATTTTCTTTAAACCTGGTCCATCGAATCTGACACAAAGCCTCGGATGACAGTTTAATTAGGGTTGTATTCTAATTTTGACGCCTTCTGTAAACTATTTTTCTTGCCACGGTCGGAGAATGCGTTTTTCACACGCTTATCGTTGTCCTGTTATGTGTGCCATTGTTTTCACTTCTGAAAAAGCGTATTATTAAGGAATAAGTGTCTGCAATAGGTTTCACTCACTAATGGCTTTTTTGTCATTATCAGAGATGTAGGGCCAAACAGAAATTGCAGTGGCTTGATTGAAAGTAAGTAATACAACTAGCGAAATATTTCCTCGTTACGGAACTGAATCGTGATAGTTAAGTATGTTTGAGGGAAAAGTATTAGGTTGTGGAGTCACCAGCCTAGTGTGCTTAGCTTGTGAATATTTGGTTGTTGTTAGTATTAGAACCATCTTCCTGTCTATTATGGGCCTGTTTTCCGTTAATGTTCGTTTATAATGAGTGGGTCTTTTCCAGACAAAGTATGAAACTTCAAGGTCTGTTTTTGTTTGAAGTTTTTGGTGTAATTTGGTTGGTATCAAGTAACAGTTTCCTAATAAGTAATGACTGGACTCACACTACAGCAACGTGGTGTGTACGGACTTAATCAACTTCATACTCGGCAAAGGAGACGGAAAAAGACACAAAGAAAGACAAAACACGTACAAAACAATATGTCCCGTTCCGCTGTTTCGTGATTTCGAAGAAAAGATCTATTCTTTTTCTTGTCTTTTTTTTTCTCATCGGAGCGACAAAGACGTGGTTGATTTGATTTTTCTAATATCATACGGAACCGGCAGCTGAAAATTACTGAAAATAACCATTAAAAAGAATTCGTCAGGCATCCGAACCGCCGCAGGGAAAATAAACCGCAGACTCTGTTTATTAAAATGAAAACAGTTTGATTCATTGGCTCAGTAAGAAAGCTAACAAAGGTAAAGCGATATCTAAATTTCGTAATGAATTCTACTTACAAACATAATAAAGAAATTAGGCAAAATCAAATGTTTTTACTTACTTGTACCCGAACCTCGGGAAGGTCAATTTTAAGAGCGAGTTCTTCCCTGGTGTACACATCGGGGTAGTGCGATTTTTCAAACGCTCGTTCAAGTTCGTGGAGTTGAAATGTGGTGAAAGTCGTGCGATTTCTCCTGTGTTTCTTTTTTGACGACTCCTCAATGAATTCATCTGTTGAGAAGGAAAAAAACAGTTGTTGTTTAGATTACTCAATTAAAAGTAGATTGTTTTGACAGTCCGTGGCCGCGTAAATAAACGAAACATTCATTTTAAATCAACATCGCTTAGGATTTGCCTCCTACCGTGAAATTCACTGTTTGAGTCTTCGAGATCTGAGTCACGGTCGCTGTGACTTTCCTTAGAGCTTGTGGGCGAATTACACTTTCCATCTTTTCGCTTCAAAATTTCGCTGAGAAAGTGGTCTTTGTTATCATTTTCGCCGTCTCTGTTGGTGTTATGGATGTCGTTCTTCTGTGGCGTCGAATCGCTCTTGATGTGGCAACTCATTTTGGTCATTACTACAGCAGGTCTGAACTACGACTAAACTTATCGTCCCGCAAGTTGTTACAAAATACTACGGTCGCTCGTGCTAACAGCGAATTAACAGGACAAGGCGGGTGAAATAATGCAAAAGATATCTAGATAACAAAAAGCTAGCCAATCACGCTTCAGAACTCAATATTTTCTATGCTCTGATATTGTATTGAAATTACCTGGTTGTTTGTTAGCAGTGACAAGAGCGGTGATTACTAATCACTAATGAACGCAGCCTTGGTAGACTGTAGAGCACACATTAGATGAAAAGAAAGAGATGCTTATTTTGATTGACAATAAATAATCACGCCGGGATATCTCTCTGCACTTGATGTTTCCAAGTTAGGTTAATTTTTTCGTCCCTCGCCGCAATAAATTACACTTTGAATGCTGTGAGTGCTTATTTGGGATTAAGTTTTTGTAGATATTTTTGACATCTTTCCGTCGCATAAATTGTCGAAGTGGGTATGCTATGCCATGAATTCGCAACAAATTTAATAATTTCGACCTCACACGCAACGTTTTGAAGTGTGGTTTTAAAAACGATATTGGTTTTGACGACAAATAATTGAGTACTCGAGTTTAGCTTGCGTGTGATGTTTGGTGTTTAAGTGATTTACTCTAATCACAGTTCTATAAACATACTAAAGGTAGATATTGGATAAACCAACCCTTCGGCAAACACACCATAAAGGAATATCTAAAGCGTTATTGAAATCTATGAGTTCTAGATTTCGGCTGCTCGCATCATTCAATGCTTGTTAATGACCGATCACAAATTCGGGGCCTTTGGTCGACGATTTTCTCGAAATTAGCTTAAATTTAGCCTAATGTGTGTAATTAGTGGCTATTAATTGCACGACTTGGTAATCCCGAGGTGGCAATAGGATTGAAATCGCTAAGTAAAGCTAACGGTTTCGAGGAGACACTGTAACCATGCAAACTGCGCTTGCGCACAGCAGACATGACACGTGTAGTAAATTAAAACAAGTTCTTTTAAAATCAGGCATAATATTTCTTAAAAAGAAAATGCTAATTAGGTCGTGATTCTTCAAGCAAAGCGTCAAATAAATCAGCATAAGGAAAATTTTGCAAAAGATAATTCAGTTTCGGAGCAGTCCGATTTTTCTTGAAAGGATGGCTGCATCGTTGAGGATTTAAGTCTGAAATTAATTTTAGAGGACTTATCGAAAAATATCATATAATTTTTCTTAACAGGGAAGCCTTAAAAAATCATTTCAATCTGTATGTTGGTGCATGTTTTTTTCCTATTTATTTATTTATTTTATCCATCACGTATTTGCTTCAAACACTTCAACGCGCCTACGTTATTAGCTGTTTATTACAAAGGCGAAATCAATTTCGTTTTCCATTAAATTGGAAAACTAACTATTGTGTTACTCATTGTAAGCAGTGCCCTTTTCATTAGCAGATATTTTGAAGAATGAGGGTGTAGCTATAGTAGCGGCCTTAAAGTTGAAGAAGGAAATTAAAATCAAATTTAATTAAGATTCTCGGCAAAGAGTTCACTCAGTTGACAGTTCAACGATACATTGTACCGGAGAGCAAGTTCCGCTGAACGTGCCGCTGAAGTTATTAAAAAAATTAAGGCCAATAAGAAACGTAGTCTTGTGTGAACTGCGTCTTTTAAATAATTGTATCATTGGATTTGTGTTTTGATTGAAGGATTGAAATTTAGGTTGGAGGATTTTGTTTAGATGGGGAGATTTTAAGATAAACAATCTTTTCAAATCAGAATGACGAGTGTGGTACGAATAGGTGTTTCGAACAGTCGGATATTGTCTATTTTTGTTACGCTCACGTTTCAATAGATTGGCTTTTAAAAGAAACCCGCAGACATGAGCGGGCAGGCCTTAAATCGAGACCTTTACGATATTCCGACACAGAAACCTCCAGATTGAATGGGGCCTTGTATATACGTAATCATAACATCTTTCGTCAATGGGTCATTTATCTTTGGTAACTCCGGATCCAACGCAAAACTTGTGGTTTCGGTGGAAAGAGGGAAATATAGGCGTCTTTATGTCTCCTTTTAAGTTAGTTTTGCCTTAAGGAAATGGCGTAGAGCGGCATCTGGTTATTACTTAGCCTCATAGCTACAAAGCGACAGGGTTATAATTCGGCCAGTTTCCTTCAAGAGGCTTTGCTGAATTGAAAAAAATCTCTTGGGATTGACATTAAGCCCCAAAACAAAGCCAGTAATCATCAGGTCATAAAGCTTTATTTAAAATTGGACTTCGTTTAGTAATTACACGCTGGATTGACCATTTCTCTTGATAAGCTCTCAGTCTTTGGTGACCCGCTCTGTCGTCAATCAAAGTGTTGCCTGAGGCAAATGTTACCTCAAAAATAACTACGCACCGTGATTTTATCACAGGCAGAAAGAACTTAAATAGTTTATACTATCTTAAATAGCAATTAAATAATCTATTGTAATTGTGTGCATGTCCTAATGACTTTCTAGCCACTTTATCTTTATTAATTATTGTTCTTACGTACTTGCGGGAAAATGTTCCTTTTGTCTTCGTTACTATGCTTTTGAAGAATTTGTGCGACTAGGTGCAAATCGTTTATGAACAACTTCAAAGCGATGCTCTCTCAAGAACAGGTTACATTTTACACGACTTTTACTACTTAGTTTGCAAAGATGAAAAGGAGAGAGCTGAAAGGTCAAGCTTGTAGCGATGTTACGCAGCAAGGATGGGTTGGAATACATGGATGGGACTTACCCTTCTTCCATCAAACCGAGACAAAGCAGGGTTTTCTTGATGGTTTGTCGTGTTATTTAATTTTTTTTTCAATAAAGGCAAAAGCTTTCTTCCTTATTAGTTGAAGTTGCTTTAGTTGGGAGATTAATAAATGTATGAAATAGCAGAAAAATAGATAGCTGAGCACAACGATAAATGCAAAAATAATTTAAGGAAAATAAGGAAAATGTGAGAGTAGCCAACATAGTCGTTAATGAGGTGCCTTGATATGCGCGGAATATACTGTGCTATTCGTGCGATTGATTTGCTTCCATCTGGAAAACACTTCAAAACGCAAACTTGATAGCGTCCTTTTAAAGTGCGGCCATGAAAAAGTTCTCCGTGGAAATCAACTCGGCTTGCATTTGTCAAATGACAACTGCAGTTATCGAAATAAATGAGTGTCAAGAAATCGCTGTCTATAAGATGTGGGAAGGCTCAATTGGTTGACGAATTTACCTCAGAAATACCTTAATCTTTCCATAATGTTACCATACAGGTTTCCAGCGGAAATTTACATGTATATTTAGCGATAGTATTGTAGTATAGTCCTTTCAGTATATACAGGGTTTTAGCCAAAACATAATTCGAAGCATGTGAATTTTTTCTTTTCTCTTAATGAAATTATATTACGTAATTGTAAAAGAATAGACTGATGGAATGGTTAACACATTTATCGTCTGTCAATATCTTTTCTGGCTAAGGGTTGAACGAGTATTTGCTATTTGCAAAGTTAGGGAAAATGATGAGAATTTTGTGCTGTCGGCAGGTTTTTCCTTGAAATAGCATAGAAATCAAATTTAGCACAGAAGTGTTCCTTGAACTGATAGAAGAACAAGGCTTCCATCAAGCTTGCTTATTCTGTGCTTAAAACAATAGTTCGCCTTTTCGTTAACAGTTTCACAATTTTCTCAGTAAATTCGAGATTGTGAGGAAAATTTGCTCATAATTAGCTCTCCTTATAGTTCCTGGGAAATACTTGAAATTTTTACTAAAATTTTCGGTCAGTTGTCTGGAATTTCTATGGTTCCATTTGCGTTGAAATTTTTGCGGTGGGGTGATAGTATGTGTGCAATCTTGACTTAACAGAGCAAAGCCGTTATTCAAAATTCGACTTTAGGTGTTATTCCAGAGCGAAAGAGCCTCTTCAAAAAAAATTGTCTCTCTTTTCTGTGAAGTAATATTCACACTCATTCCAAAGTTTCTTTGTGATTAAACTTGGCAAGCCGGTGAGCTTGGCTGACAGACAGAAACTAAAAAAAAATGCGATGCTATGATTTTGAATAGGGTTGGAATTAAAAAAGTAGCGAGCGAGTGTTAGGTGGAACTATCTAAACATTCATAAATTTTCTGAATAATTTTGATGGAGGAATTTGTGTCTTTGCAACAATAAAATCAATAGTCCAAGGTTAATGACCCTTACATTACTTACACTTTTTGGCTACGAATTTTGATTCCTTTTTCTTCTTCTTCAGCAAATGATATCATGAAAAAAGACTTCAAGTATACTATATATATATATATTTTATGGGATGATCTACTTTCTGAGATGCAAGGAAAGAAACATGGTGAAAATTTCTCTTGGCAAACCCGACGTAAAGAGAATGGTAATTTAAAATATTTTAAAAATGTCTTAATTGTAAATATATTGAACCAAAACTGACAAGAAGTGTCCGGTGATTCTCTTCTTGTCTCTAGCACTAATTTAGGCTTCAATATTGCAACAGTAATTCTGTCAATATCGTAGAGGAGCTACTGAACCTTTTACTTATCTATATGTAAAAGCCGCCTTGTGTTCCAAGGCTTTTCTCCGTAACGAAGCTATACTAGAACCACGCCACAACTCTCCTCCATTAGGAATGCTGCATTGGATATCTTGTAGAGAAGGCGAAGACGAAATGGGCATCTCCCTGGCTCCGCCAAACGGTTGTTGAAAGGTCTGTTGGGCTGGTGGGGTGGCCTGTTGTTGGATGGACATGCTGAGGTGTGATCTCGGCATAGTACCTTGATGTGAGTATGTCTGTGGAAGAACCTCATGTCCAGTCTGTGCGAATGGGTGATGCGGTGGGGAGAGAGGAAGAGAAGGAGTAGTGACTGGAGCCATCGTTGGCATTGCTGTGCCCATTGTGCTGGGCCATCGGTGATCATTATGGAAAGTACACAAGGAGTCACCTATGGGGCTGGGGTTGTACGCCTGGGCCATGTGAGACGGAAGAATCGGGGCAGGAGGTCGAAGAATTGCAGCTGTCTTCTTTCGTTTCTTCCATTTAGCGCGTCGATTTTGAAACCAAACCTGAAAACCAAATAAATAGAGTTTACAATTTTAACACTATTGTAATCAGTTAATAGATGTCGTAAGAACTATCCAGGTGCTTGGTCTCTCTTTTGATAAAGTTCCTATTGCGTCAATGCACGAAATTTATCATCTAAACATCTTTGGGTCTTTCTTTTTACTATTATACCGAATTTTGTCGATTACATTGCGTGAAACACGTATTTTTAATTACGCCAAACCTAGCAACTTTTCCACATTGGAATATCTGTTTGCAGAAATTGTCACCATCCAAACTTATGATACTATATAGATATACTGATTACTCAGAGATAGCTACAGTCTCGGTCCTTAGGCCGTTAAGAACCTGAAGCTTCCAGTGATACAAACTCTTTAGTTGCTTTTAACTCCCACGAAAGATAACCGTTAGGTTACCTTTTCAAGAAGAACGCAGTATGTGTAAAATTTAATGTCGCTACTTGTTTACTTCAATCAACTACTTAAAGTTGGCGAGGCATATCTGCATGCTTCGTTGAAAGAATCACGAACTAATCTTCTATGAAAGGGTATTTTTGCGGTCTATGCACTAAAATTTTCAATTTCACTGTTTGTAATCCGAGTTAATCTTCTTTATCTTTGACCATATTCGTTCCTTTTGGGCTTGTTAGTAGCTACATACAATTAGCTTTTTTCTTTAAGTTAATGTGAAGGGTGCTTCAACCTCCGAACAAAAAATTCACCTGTCTTTTATTACATAGGTTGACTTCGCAACTTTATGTTTTACCACACAGATTATACCGGCCACTAAGTGAGGCCGAGGCAACCTTATTTCACAGATGATCATCCAAGCCTTAGCCTTTCAATCTTTGCCCTGTTGCTTTGAAAAGAAGTCCATAATTTGCAATATTAATGCATTGAGATTTGCCACTCATTACAAGCCTCCGAACTATGATAAAAAAAAAAAATCCATTTGCATGATTTCTTTTCCATTTTCGTACTTATAGTTATTAGAGGGGGTTTTCGTTTCAGGGTCGATCCCGCTACTTGCTAATTAAATCACCATAACAATTAAGATGAAGTTTTTTTTTTCCTCAAATGAATGAGTGCTTGGTTTTCGTTTTTGTTTTTCTTCTCGTAACCAGTATTGTTTTAATATACATTACAATTTCCATTTCTGCAATTGACTTAACTGATAGTTGCCAATTAAATTCTCTAATCTAAATTTAATGAAAACTGTCAAAACTATTTCGTGTTTGGAAAAATCTGCATTTGCCCCTTTTTGTTATTGGTTATAACTATTGAAGTCTCTCCTCCTGATAGCGTCGCCAGATGAAATCTCAATTTAGTCTATTGGTCTTTTTCCATTTCGCATGGGAAAAAAAACTAATTTGCTACAGATGCACTTATCTGAAATAAATTCCCAAAGTTCTCGTGCGGAGAACGTTATCTATACAACATTTGTCTTCATTGAAAAGTGGCAATCGGAACACTTCAGTCCAGAGAGAGCCGATGGAAACGTTTCCGTTCAACAATGAAGACAGTGTTAATGTCTAAATGTAATTATTTTTTCCGCATGAAAATGTTTTGGAAAACAGTAAAATTTAATAAGACAAGGACTGAAAACTGCACCTTTTGAAATGACCCAATCGAGGTGGAAATTGAGATTGTTAATTGTTAGCTGAATGACACGGATATAAAACAATTGTTCTCGATGGTTAACCTCTGGTAGCGAAAATCAAATTGCTGTTTCCTTTTCCGAGAAAATTCTGCCCTGGAGAGGAAACTAGGACTGCCAAAATTTGTGCTCATAAAGCTGTTTAAACACATGGGTGAAGTTTTTAATTAATCTTCTTCGCGGCATTGTCGGAAAATGATTATATCGATTTGCACACAATTATTTCGCATTTTGCGAGAAGTCACTTGAAATTTAACAAGCTCGAGAATCTCAGCAAACTAAATGTTGTTTTATCTTTTCGGCCCATAAGTAGCCTGAGACAAACATCGGATGCTCACAACAAGGAATAAGTTCTCAGCCATCACATCTTCTAAAGAGATGGTGTTTCTCATTCTGTGTTCAATACGGCTTAAACAGAAGTATAGTTAGCTTTTATTTCGCCGACAAATCTCGGTTGTTTAATTTCGTCTACAAACAAGAAAAATGCTAATTTTGATAAAGTTTGTATTGGGCCTAACCAGCAAAAATAAGAAAGCAAAATACTTGAATTAGAAGGAAACACTGCTTACCTTTATAACAAAAACACATGACTAAGGAATTCGAAAAAGCATGTTAAATGTTAACTATTTCCATCAGATAAACAAGGCTCCAATTTGAGGATAAAGAAAATTAATGTCAGCGCAAGTTAACAAACTAAAATGATACTTTTGTTTGAACAGACCCAAAAAAGCACATGTAGAACACAGCTTAGATCCTAACCTATTGCTTGAGAAGTACTTGAGATAAACGCCCCGAAGGAAAAACCGACGATCCAACGAGAACAGATGCTTCTCCTTTATGCCCCGGCCCTGAAACCCCTTCAAAAAGTCGTCGTATATTTTCTTGAATTCGCAGCTGCTATTTGAATAGGGGAAATCAAAGTTTTCTCAGAAAATCTTATCAACGCAGAAAATGTAAAACTTAAACTGTTATCATGACAAAGATTGATGCTGTGATAATGTCCCAAATTGAGCTGGTACCCGTTCCTATTTGACAAAAGTAACACCACGTCGCCTCCCTGTACACGGTTCTTGAAGCATATGCTGCCAATGTCAGATTTCACTCAGAAATTTTTGAGAAAAAGAATCAAAACGCACCCTCATTTATTATTTTGTTTGAAAGTTTAAAAAAAACATTGTAGTTTTGATAGAGAAGGCGGGAAATCTTCCCTTTCTCACATAACTTCCGTCAAAATTTATTGCTGTTAAATAATGATTTTTACCCTCCGGGGCTGAATTTGACCGCTTCTCTTCTTTGTTGGTTAACTTACAGTTTATATTTCTATAATATGATACACCAACAGAGATTCAATATTTATATTTTTGTATGTTTTGGACGCTTTGTTCTTTGAAAAGCTATAGAACTTTTTATATATTATCGTTCTGGATCAGATGATGATCGTATAGAGTCGAAGGCAAGTGTACATGCTTTTCATCGTTTCTACTTTGTACTTTTCCCACCTTACTCAAATCTCAACCATTTGTAATTATTTTTTCGATTACCTCTGCTATGGATTTGTGACAATGAATACGGTGTTTTGCCGACAAAGGGGGCTTCTTTTTAATAACCTCAACTGAACATATAGTAACGTTCTTTCTGGCTGGGCAGGTCACTTTCTCACCAACTCAAATCTTTGATATACACCGCTCTCAGGTCCTTATTGATGAAACTAAAGACGAATTAATTGACTTTAACAAACTATAGTTTAGCAAATGGTGTAAGAAATAGAGGTACTCAAAGATTTGCTCTTCTAAGCAATGATAGGGGCTTAGTCCAATTTTTTTCCTTTTTGCGATTTTGATTTTGCCAGAAAAAAAGAAAGACAAACAAAAGACTTGATGTTTTCATTTTGCACTTTGATCAACCCGGCATAACCTATCGATACCTCTAAAGCAAACAGAGGTCCGTGCCGCCAATGTGCCGACCGCTATAGAATATTTTGTACAATGGTTCAGAAAATATCCCGGCAAATAACTCACAGTATTGCTTGGGCGTGCGATACCGCCGCGTGTCTGACTTGTCGCAACACATCAAATCCCTTAAACTCAACTCCAGCGGGCAATTTTGCCATAAACGTCTTCGCGAACAAACTTTTTGTGTCAATAGCAGTTGAACTTAAACGAAAAGTACAGGCGTCAGATTTAAATGAAATTGATTTTTAAGTTACATCAAATGTTTCTGGTCGCATTTCCTCGTAATTTGCGATAACATTAATTTGGACATGAACGCTTAGAATTTGAGTAGATTGTTTTGGTTTTTTTCTTTCTCCAGGTCAGGGTCGAACATGTTTATCTCGCTCTGATAGCTCGATGCATTGGCCTGACACGCCTAAAGATTGGCCACCCGTAGTGCTGCTTAATATTTTCAATTTGCCACGATTTGTTCGAAACAATCCGATAACCGAAAAAGTACAAGAAGCCATTTCTTCTCAATAACATGTATACATTAACATGATTCGTGTTCAAACATAGACTCCATTTACTCACTGCCTCACATTTTGGTACTGATGAGGTGAAATGAGACCCTAATTATAGAATTCTTTTTAGACGACTAAAAGAAAAACCTCTACAGTACGCCAAACTTTTGATGCAGTTTACTCAAAATAGAAATGCTACCATGAACGTATTCATTCTGAGTGACTGTCGGTTTGTTTCTCGTTGGGAAAGAAATGAAAATAATGTAATCGTGGTGGAAAGTCTGGTTTCTTTGTATTCCTAATCACTTAGTTTCTCAGAACAATCGTTTACTACAATGCGAATAACCAAAAGCGATACGAGCCCGGCATGTCCAATAATTATCTTTAATTTCATTACTCGCTGCGTTGGTGGAGAACAGCGAGAAAGAAACGGAAGTGAAGTCTTCTTGTCGAGCAAGTCAACATAAGAACCACAAGTTGTAAGGATATCCTGATTGCATTTTAACACCGTAGCTGTTGTGTAAAGCTACATTCTTCTATGTAGAATATGGCGCTGAATAGCGGATTGCAAACCATGTCAAATATTCTTTTTAAGTAAACACGGTTTGTCGCTGTGCCCGGTTTAATACCAAGGCGGTTTTGAGGTAATCCACTTCTTAACTTCGCTTTCTTTTATAAGAACGCGGCCAAGAACTTGACGAAATGAAAAACGTAATTACTCTAGAGCCGAGCCTGCCCGCCTTCTTGGTATTCTAATTATGTGCAAAAACACCGGTGTCTGCTTTGTCTTTCAAATTACGCTTTTCTATTCGATCCTCGGTCCAGCTCTACAAGTTCGCTCTAATTCAGTGGGCATTGTCTTTCTTATAGTTTTCTTTCGACACGAGCAAGTTTGTGTTGTTGTTTCAGAGAGACAGCGCGAAGCCCCACGAATCATCCCGCTATTAGCTCCAGGGGAGAATTTAATGTCTTACAAGTGACTTTTCAATTTTACGTAGGACAAAAAGTAGATTCCCTTAACAGTTCATGAAAGAATTTTGTTGGTCACTAAAGATATGTCTTTATTTACAAAGCCGAACCAAAGATGACTTTACCGCAAATGGCGATAACAACATTCGCTTTTCATGAGCGAAAACCACGCAGGGTTTCTAGAACGAACTTTTCAAAACTACACTAAGAATTTCAGCTGTCTGCGATCAAAGCACAAAATGTATTGAAACAGGTGTTTGGAGCCAAGTTGTAGCTAATTTCCATCGTTTAATAACGAATCTGTGATAACCGAAATTTGACAAGCTTCTTCACTCTAATAGAGTATCTGAATCACTGAAGAAGAAGGCTCCCAATTAACTTGATGACGGAGCCAAAGAAACGAAAGTACACTCTCCATTCTGGTTAAAATTTAAAAGCAATTATTTCTGGCCGATGTAAACACGCTTCGGTTGACAATTGCGACACACTGTTACGAGATAATAGTTTCCCTTTCTCCATGTCTATTATTCACTTGCACTCCTTAGTCATAATAGCTTAGATAACTTTTAAAAATCACGAGAAAGAGCTTTTCCGTTTATGCTTCCTCATTAGAATTTCCAATAGGTTTATTTTGGCCATTGCTATTGAATGTGTTTTTAATAATCTATTCATTGTGTACATTCAGAAAACTGCGGTCTGCCTTCTTCTGCCACGCCAACGGTTAAAATCCCTGAAATAAGAGTCCAATAGGACAAATACAGGGCTTTTAAATGCAAAGATGTTATGACACGGAGTATTGTTATCTGTAGTAAATTTAGCCGCAAGGAACGTGCCATTTCTATTTCGCATATGACCGCCGGTAAAGCGTATCTCAAAACAAAAACCAAATTAATACCACAAAGGCAATTCTTGTTGTGTTCGCGATAAAAATAATAAATCGTCCTCACAGCAATAAAATTTGATTTCTTCCCGCAAATATTGCGCGTTCTCTGACGTTAAGTCCTTAGACAGTTTCTTTGTAGTGAAAGGTTTGTACAAGTCTTTCCGCAGTGTGAAAGTGATTAGGGGGAAAAGTATACAAATATATCATTATAGCCGGAAAAAATTGGTGGCGGCGTAAACGATTTTATCATTTAACAGAAATCAGATACTAAACTCTAACTGATCAGCGTATTGCGCACGGCTCGCTAGAAGGTAAAAGTGGCAAAGATTAAGAGCTATTTATACGAAACGAGCGTTTTTGTTTTCTATCGCAAAACAAACCGTTACATAAACTTCATTATACCAAAAGATCTTTAAACTGCTATTTTTCTCCCATTGATATCGAGTTAATCATAAATAGCAGGTTTTTAAGGTTTGTACCTGAACTCTCGACTCGGTGAGACCAATGCGTGCGGCGAGGTCCTCTCGCATGAAAACGTCTGGGTAGTGAGTCCGAGCGAAACACCTCTCAAGCTCGTTGAGTTGAGCCGGTGTGAAACGAGTGCGATGGCGCTTCTGTTTGACGCCTTGGCTATCACTGGCCTTTCTATCTTCATCATCAAGAGAAACAGTATCAATCTTCCTGTGCTCTGTCGGGGAGCTCTTGCCGTCTACACAACCGTTCTTAGCGCTATCTGTTGAGGCAGACATCAAGTGAATTAAATTAGAAGAAGCTCTCACTCAAGTCATTAGAAAATTTATTTTTTATAAAGGTGGGTTAATGTGAATGATGAGCAGAAAATTTTCGAAGATTTGTTACCCTAACAAGATATATATAGCCCCTACCAGAATCCTGCTCGTTTAGCTCGCCGTTGTGATTGAGTATTCCGACGATCGAGTGCTCCAGACTTGGAACTAATTCCAGTAAAGAAGTTGTACTGTGATCTTCGCGGTGATCCATGGCTGCTCCTCTGACTGGTCCGTTCGCGTCGGTCGCTGGCTCCATTACTAATCTTCTGCGATTCTGCCAAACTTTCGGTCTTCTTTGTAGAGTGCTTATTACCTCGGATTTAATATCTATAGCCGCGTCTGGCCAATCAGCGCGCGCCCTGGTGCTATTTTCTAATAAAATTATGTCAGGTGTCACCACCGGATCAGAAAGCATGTAAGCAAATCACTCTATATTAATATTTAATTGTGCTAATTGAACATGAGAGCATGGCAAATTAAGCGCCCGTAATATAATTTTTTCGCCTTTCAGTGCGCAATCTTCAAGCGGCTCCCGGCGCGTTCCGAACTCGACAGCGCGTAATTACGACGGTTTTTCAAGCGCGTTTCGTTCTCTGGTCCGCTTCCAGCGCGGTCCCTGCCATGTAGCGCGAACTGTAATTCTCTTAATTAAGGAGCATTTGTTTGTGATGAAGTATTTTGGCTTTCAAATAATTGATCAAATAGGCCGTGATTAGACGAAACTGAATCGTCATTAACGTGATTAATAAAATATTAATTGTTAATTAAATCGATAGCACTTGCTTTCACCGGCTCCAAGCAGGCTTTCGAAGGGCACGATGGATGAAGTTCGACATATCGGCGTCGAATTTAATGTGATATTTTTACTTTTTATTTATTTTTTCTTTCGTGTCCCATGGATTGAACGTGATTGCGAGGTTGCAATAGCTCAGGGCGAGACACTTATTGATTAGACGACATCCTCTTCCGTGCATATTTCCACGAAGCTTGCGGGAGGTTTGCCCACACATCCCTCTTAAAAAGAATCCTATAGTGTTACCAGCTAAGGACAAAAATATGACTCGTGCCGTGCTAAAGAAAGTCCTTGATCTTTGACAAACGCTTTTGTATTCATTCAGTACAGATGACTGTTTCATCGTTTCCTTAATTACTCAAACATGTTTAGCCTACGGCTTTTGTTCTCGAAAGAAAACTAACATTTTCGTATGCTTTTTAAATAATTACCGGGGGCCGCGTGCGATCACTGAAGGTTTTTTATGTGGCATTTAACCTCGTGCCACCTACCTAGCGGGGAATCGTGACATTCAGAATAAACTTGCTTTTTAACATTTTGCAGCCGCTCATATCGACTGGCAGCTTAATCAGCGAAAAGTATTGATTCGATTGTTTCTCCAAGACAACTTTGAAAAACGTTCGCACATCGTTTGCAGTGAAGAGGAAGTGACTTAATCACGGACGACAACTTTGCTTGCAAACACACAAAGGGTTTAATAGCCCGGAGAAAAGCTTGAGAGATACCAATAACACTGCCTTGTGTGAGAGGAAATCCCAGAACAAACTAAGCTCAATGTGAGTGATTTTTGCTTTATGCGTGACAACATAAAGTACAAAATGCGATAGTCTCTCCGGCAGCTGCAGATATTCGTTGTGCTGATTACTACAGAATTAATAAAATTTTCTAAATTGAGCCATTAACATTTTTACATAGTTATTATTTGTGAGGCCCCAATGAATTCTACAAATGTCGCTTTAGAGCGTGAAATGTTGAATTTTTTCCTTCAATCGCGAGAGAGATGGCGACTCTTGATGGTTTTATTACTTCTTTCACTTTGCTTATTGAAATCTACGATAAACATTACATTGTTTTTCTTTGCGCAGAAATAGAAATCTCCTATACTAATTCGCCAAATGAATCTTTAGAAAACTAATTTATCTGTAAATTCGAGACGATATCCGAAAGAGATAAGATAATGTGTCTAATTTGGTTTCCCGTGAATTTTAAAAATGTATTTTAGACAGGTAGAACGCGCAAAAGTTTACAAATATACTGTAAGTTCCAACATAACGGCTGAAATTTGATCCATTTTCAAATTGAATTTATTTTTCAATTTCATAGGGGCCGGTTGGAAAAATCCGCAAAGACGCGAGCTAAGATAGAAATCGAGTCTTTTGAATATTAAAATACAATAATTCTGGTAAACGAGAGGGAAGTTCTCGGGTTTGTATTAAAGAGGAACGAGCAAATTTTAAATGCCAATCGCTGAGCACGAAATCCAAGTCAATTTGGCTTTAATTAAAAGAAGTTTCAATTAGTTCAGAGGTTGTCAGCATTTCAATTTTTCTTTTTTTTTTCTTTCCCTGAGGTGTTATGACCGGAGCGTTGACTGAAGGGAAAATATTCATTTTTTGTTACTTATTTGAGGTTGAGGCTTTGATTAATTATTAATTACCACGAAATTCACTTATTAGAATGTGTGCGTACAAAGAACATAATAAAACCGCGTGCTTCAAGGGATGGTAATAAAAAGGAACTTTTAATGCTAAAGATATCACGAGCATTTTGCACAATGAAAATACGACTTTTCTAATGTAATTACTTATTTTGTTAAGAAAACAAAAACCACTCCCGAAGTTCTTCCACTCTATGGGCTAGTGGTCCTTGAGATATTCTGGCTATCGTTGCGAGTTAATTGGTGCAAATCGCACTGTACAAAGATCCATACGTGATGATAGTTTATTTACCTGCTCATAAGCATTTCCGTGTAATATTTTGCGACTGTTCGCGACCGCTTTAATCTGCTATTAAGTATTTCCGATGCATTGTTCCGACCTCAAACTAGTAGTTTTAATATTACAAACATGATGAAGTGTCTTTTGTTGACGAGAAAAGAATTTGATATTTAAAATAAGAGGGTTCTGGTATGTGTAAATGCTGCAGTTAGCAATTTTACTGACAACTTAAATCTGAAGCAAGACAGCGGCGTTTGGCTTTAGAGAAAAAGCTGAAGCATAGAACGTAATTTTCCCCCATTCCAGTTTAAGCAACGTGGTCTCTTTGTGTTTGTTGTTCTCATGGCATTAGACTTTTGTATATTTAACGCCCAATTGGATTATAATCAATCTCGGAAGGGGCAGAAAAGATGTTTTTGACTTAGCACAAGAGAGACCTTCTCGATATTTTGATCGTTCGGGATTGAAATGCCCACTATCGTACCCCAACTTCCCCGCCAAAACAACAGCGTTATTTCAACTCCTTGCGCCTGCCACAAAGTTAGTATTCTAGCTGAATACAGTGACTGCTAAATTTTGACTTTTTGAGTCTAAGGCACAGAAATAAATTTAGGATATATCTACAAATACGTACAAATGTTTTAAACGAAGAATCGTGTAGCTCACTCCAGGAGGTCGTTTGACTTACCTGAATATCTCAATCTCGTATGTTAAAACGACTAAAGCAAGTCTTTCTTTAAATCCTCTCTATTGATCTTGGAGATCGAACAAGCCTTACTGCTACCAACAGAATGTTTTAGTTTGTGTGAAATTGATAGCTTTTCACTTGTCAGCGAAACTTAAATGCAATAATGCTTTCGGTGGCAAGATTTCTGTCTTCTAATAAATTCAATTTATCGTTCATACTGATTCGACCATTACAGCAGTCTATTCATTTTCGGACCCTTAAAAACCAATATGTCTGATACACATTAAGCAATTTCTTTTAAAAACTTCACGGTGCACTCTAAACTGTTTTATAGAATCGTTGATGAGGACACAAAACGAAACCTATATGATTGAGTTAAATAAATTAGATTTTCGTAAAGAAGATCTCAGAACATCGTTGGGTTTCTAACACAAAATTTGTAAGTCTGCTTCGCTGACAACAACTCTCTTATCCGTCTTAGACAAGGCTGACTCACTAAGGTAGGAGATGAAAACAAATACGACAAATACGGTTTTCGTCACCTGCAAGTTACAGTACGTCCCTAAATCTCTTGTGTAATAACCATCCTTGTACACACTGAAAATAATCCAAAAATTAGTTGAAATACTGATTATAACAATCTTAAAATCAACCTTGGTCCTAATAGACTCAAATTTCGTAAAATACGCTGAACAAGATCCATTTCGCGGTTAATCATCGGATATATACATGTCTTACTCTAATTTTTGTCTATTTTGTTCATTTTATCGTTTATGGATTTACAGAACTAGTGGTAAAACAGATACTGTTAAACCTGAAGTAAATACAGTGTACTCAGGTGGCGATCAGCATTCGGTGGTCTGTAGTTTGACTATGTTCCTCTCAAAACGAAGGCTCGTATGCATGGCTATGTGACCCTAGGAGAGTGAATCTGGGCTTCTTACACTTACACAAGTCAGGGAATTCTATCTTTTTTTTTTTAATAGTCACCAGCAACGAACTCTTATCGGTAAGAAATCTCTATGTCATTTTAAATCATAGCTAAACCAGTGTCTTTATTAGTAAGAATTACACTTGTATATGACTCAAGACAGAAACTTTAGGCGAATATTTTACAGTATCTTTTGTGATGGTAATGTCGCTTTGCAGAATCCACACCCTTCGCTATTTTGTTCTTGCGAGTGAGTGGTAATTCTTTTCTTTCCGTATCTTTCTTATCTAAAACAGAAACAAAAGATTAGTTGTAAGTCCTCATAATGTCAAGAGAAGACGCTTTTTTTTTCTCTTATTTTGAAACATCACCAAAATGTTTTTGGCGGATGAGACATATTTACTCGGTCGAGCATGTTTATTTTTTTTACGTTCGAATTTGCGGAAGTCATTTAATGACAGTAAAGACAATTTTGATGGATTATTTTTTTTTCTCAACTGAAAAGATGTCCCAAAACAGAAGACTGTTGGATGGAATTTTAATGGTTAGCTTGTGCCAAAGAGAAAACATCTTGTAAACGCAATCGCCAATTCGCCCGAGGGCAGGTGCTTCAATCAAAGAAGGCAGAATTCGGCGACACCATGTCGCTTATGCACGCTTGTGTTTCTTGAATATCTGATTTAAAGCCAAGTGAGCTCTCGGTGCCACAGAGTGAATCACTATCCCAGCCAAGCACATCTCAGCAGCACCCGGATATCCTAAATATTTAGAACAGCACAACTCGAGGCAAATTAAAAAAAACACACACGCACAGATCAATCTATTGAAAAGGCGTTAGTTTCAAAATGTTGGGATACTTTTGGAGTTGCGTTAAGAGTGAGATTGGTTAGGTTTCTTGTAAAAAGCAAACCATCCATAGTGCCTTTGTTTTAATTATTTTTTCTTATCGGTTTCATCTACAGACACCACGAGTTCTTTTCTATCTGACTTTATAGAAAAAATTTTTTTCGTTCGCCGAAAATGCAAATGTAAGATGAACTTAGTGCGGTTTTTTCAATATTGACCGTCGTGAGGCATTATAAATAAAGCTTTCACCATCTGCTTGTGGTTTCGAACGCCTATCTGTTCAGCGTCATTTTTTCTTATTTCCGCAGAAAATTTGAAAATTTCTGTGCTGTATTGTATGAAACTAAGCTCAGAGTTTCCTTCAATGAATTAGAAGCAACGGCCGCGTAA